AATTAAAATTCAAAATTATATTTTCATCTGAGTTATTATTTTTTATTTTATGGGCCCTACACGTGATTTCTTTTTACCCTTCTTGATTGAAATAATATAAACATATTACAATAATTTTTTCCTTCTTGAATTTTTGTTTCTTCTTTACCCTTAGTCCGATTTCTTCTTGAATATCGGATTGGGGGGTTTTGGAAATTAGGTTGTGTGTGTGATCTTGGAGAGAAGAAAAAAATTACAGACTAAGGGTAAAGAAGAAATCACGCTGGAGCCCACATGGTAAAAAGTAATAACTAAGATTTTGAAATTTTTCTTTTTTTTCAATTTTAAGTTTTTTTTTAAATATATTTTTCAATAATTAATTATAAAGTTAGCACTATTTTAATCAAGTTTTGGTTTTTTATTATTTTTTTGAAAATTTGAAAATTAAAAGTTACCCAAAATACCCCTGTTGACTTGACCAAGAAATGGTCAACCCAAGAAACCCCAAATTTAAAGGGTCAAAAAAGTAAAAAAGATTAAATTAGTGTAAAATACATATGTAAAGGACCGAACCAGTGAATTGTTAATATAAAGGATCAAAATAAGTTTTTTGTCAAAAGTAAAAGATCATTTGAGCAGTTTTTTTTTTTTGAAGCAAAGAAAGAGGATATGAGACTACTTTCAGGTCCCAGTTGACTTATAAAATACTCAAAGAGTATATCCAAGAGCTATTTTATAAGGCAATCAGTGCTATATGATACTATGCACCCAAGGGGTATACCCATGGGATGGACATAAATATCGTATATTTCCCTAGATTCGTCTCTCCTCATGATTTTATTAATGTTCCTCAAAACAAACGAAGCCGGCAGTGCATAAAACTTACCTGCTATACCTCAAACAAAGCGAGTTCTAATATACGGAAAGGATGATTGATCAAGTATCAATAACCCTTTTACAACTCGTGGCAAAGACTCTAAACTAGAGTACGTTTTTGAGGATCCATGAGATGCATTTTTCGCTAACCTATCTGCAACCGAATTCGCCTTACTATATATATGCAAACCCTGATAATTATTCTTTTGAATGATATAAATCATTTCTTGCAAAATAGAGTAATAACTCCACAAAACCCCCTTTTCCAACTTCAATATATCCCCTAAAACCTTATTATCAGTTTGAAGCGTCACATTTGAAAGACTCAGCAGATCGCATTTTCGCAAGCCAAATAGAGCTCCGAAAGCCTCAGCTTTAAAGATATCTCTGTCCCCCAAATAACCACTTTCTCCAAATAACCACTTTCTCCATTCACAAAAACACCACCTTCTCCTCTGATCGCAAAGCCATAACCAGCATCATCAACATGAGAGGAGCCATCCGTGTTTAAAATATAAGAATTCGCAACCGGTGGTATCCAAGCTACCCTCCAAACCCTTGGTCGAATTACTCAACTTAGGTTGACACCAAACAGTTCCCTGAAAAGTTCCTTTTCCACCTCACTTCGAGCCTTCAAACTTTTCACTATCAAAACAAATCGAAAATGATCCGTAATTGCACCAACAATGAACTGAAAATTAACCCTAACTCCATCATAAATCACCTTATTACGCGCACTCCAAATTTCCTAATCAAAGGAAGAAGCTTACGATAAGCACCATAAGCTGTCTTGATGTCGCCCTTCTACCACCATTTTCCAAGCATCGAATCAAAAGAAAAGCTCCCCGTTACATTGAGGGAAATCATAGCTGCAAAGTGTAACCATATCCGCCAGCTCAAAGAACACCGAATAAAACAATGTTCAAGATCATCAACATATGCAAAAGAAAAATGACAAACCGAAGGCAAGATATTGATTCCCATTCTGGCCAGCATAGTTGGGAAAGCCAACAGATTATTCTGCAATCTCCATGTAAAGATTGATATTTTTGCTGGGGTGATTGAATTCCAAACATTCTTCAACCAACTCTCCTCCCCAAGCCGGCGACGCATTACCTCATAAGCTGTTTTAATTGAAAAAGCCCAGCTAGAGGTGCATTGCCAAAACAGCAAAGCAACATCATCCTGAAAATCATGACAAAAAGGAGCAAGGAAGCTAGTAATATTCGCAGGAAGCATATCTTGAACCATACTCAGATTTTGACGTCTATTTAGGAAAAAATCCCCGATGGTCATATGTGGAAAAGGAAGAGTTTCATGATGTTCCCCAGCAAGCAATCCGAACGGTGACCAGTTGTCACACCAAAATGAGCTATAACACGCCGCTCAACCTTCACAACACGCCTCCATGATGTTTTCCTTTTCGCTGATAGAGATAAAGAATTAAGAAATCTACTCCATATACCACATTGCCATTTCCATTTCCCCCAGAGTTTAACAGTTAAAGCATCAATGGTATCCTCAAAGCTCTGTAAGCCAAGACCACTTTTCAAAACTGGAAAGTTAATTTCTCCCAAGCCCTCCAATGTCTCTTCTTATCATCACTAGCTCCCCTCCAGAAAAATCTTTGACATATATATTCCATCTCCTGTATGATAGACTTTGGCGGGGTTATGGCTAAAAAACCATGTAATGGCATTGAAGCCAAAACATGTTTAAGTAAAATGAGTTGACCACCTTGACCTAAGAATTTACTTCTCCAACTCAATAGCTTGTTGTTCATGTTATTTAAAAGAAATTGATACGTCACTGCCCTACACCTCCCTTTAAACAGGCAACAACCAAGGTAAACAAACGGCAAGCTCCCCTTTTGAATCCCTAGCTCATTCTGGGTAATTTGTATCCTTCACGCCGGACAATTATCAGCAACAAAGAAAGAACTTTTTTGTCAATTAATTTGCTGGCCAGAAGCACATTCATAAGCATGGAAAAAGCCATTAAGAGTTTGCAAAGACCTCTTCAAACCCCTAGAGAAAATAATGAGATCATCCGCAAGGTGAGAAACTATCATCGAACTTGAAGGGACACCATATTCCGCAACTCTACCAGAATCCATGAAATCTTTTAGTCTTCTCGTCATGGCCTCTGGAACTAAAATAAACACGTACGGAAATAATGGATCTCCTTGTTTAATTCTTCGGGAAGATTGAAAAAAGTCAACCGGACCTCCATTTATCATAACTGAAAACCAACTATTGCGCAAATTGTTAATGATCAAATTGACAAAGGCATTCGGAAAACAAAATTTGAGCAGCACCCTCTCCAAGAAGCTCGATTTCACTCTATCAAATGCCTTCATCATGTCTAATATCAAAACAAAATTTCTCCCCTCATACTTTTGATTGAGAAATTGACATAAATCTTGCGCAAGTAACACATTATCAAAAATATCTCTCCCTTCCAAAAAAGCCGATTGCTCCTCCGATATGATTTTGGACAGAACCTTTTTCAATCTTTCTATAATCACCTTAGTGAAAACCTTATTCAGAAAGTTGCACAGACTAATTGGTCTATAATCAGAAAAGGTGTTAACCGCGCTTTCTTCAGAATGAGAGTGATAAGTGTACTTGAAATAGCTCGAGGTATAGGAATTCCGAGCATAAATTCCCGGCAAGCCGAGCAAAGATCATTAACAACAATGTCCCAGCATGACCTATAGAATGTTCCACCAAAACCATCTATCCCAGGCGCACTATCTTCACTCAAATTAAAAACCGCTTCCTTGATCTCCTCCATGTTAATTAGATGCAACAATAACTCTACATCTTCAGAAGTTAGAACCGATGGTATATGTTCCAAAGACAATGATTGTGCATCATCCCTTCTTCCATTATCCTCATCTTTATTCAAAAGACCTTGAAAGAACCTCACTGCTTCTTGACCAATTTCAGCACTAGAGGTAAGCATTTGGCCAGCCTCTGACCAAATTTTAAAAATGCTTTGCTTAATTCTTCTTTCCTTCAAAGTATCATGAAAAAATGCCGTATTAGCATCTCCTTCTTTTAACCACTTCAATTTCATCCTCTGCGACCAAAAATCTTCATGCTCTTTAAGCCTCAAAACAAATTAGCTTTGGCTTCACTAAGGATAACCCGATCTTGATCTGACCTTGATAAATCATAGACATTTTCAAGTCGCTACACATTCTCCTCCTCCAATCTTATATTTTCAAAAACATCTCCAAACACTTCTTTACTCCATTCTTTCAGTTTAAACTTCAGACACCTGACTTTCAGAGAGAAACTTAGCATTCTGGTTTGCTCAATTGGCTGATCCCAGCAATCTTGAACCACCTTCTTAAACCCTTCCCAGTGGATCCACATTTTCTGAAACCTAAAGATCTTTGGCTTGCTCTCCCTTGCGCAACAAATAAGTGCAACAAAGGACTATGGTCAGATGTCATCCTGTTTAAATTCTCTACAGAAGAACTTCAAAAGTAATCATTCCATTCTTTAGAGATCAAAATTCTATCATGTTTTTTGCTCACCCAGCCTGTAGACCTATTACCGCCCCATATAAACTCTTCACCAATTTTTGGTGGTTTCAAGTAGATCACATTCAAAGATACAATCATTAAACTCCGACATGGCCACATGATCCTGAACTGAGACTCCTGAATATTCCTCTAATGATCGAATTACGTTGAAGTCCCCAGCAACCATCCATGGAGAGTTAGCATACCACTGTCGAAATGCAGTTAAGCTCCTCCACAATGATTGTCGCGCCAACCTATTTGTTTTTGCATACACAGCCGATAAGTAAAACCTTTCAGCAACATTAACATGAGAAACCTCAATATGTAAAACTTGCTCCTCCTCAGCTAACATAGAGAGTGAAAATTCCCGTTGACTGAACACCCAAATTTTGCTAGAATCCGAAGAAAAAGCAGAATCAAAACCCAACTCTCTTCTTATACTCTGAATCTGCCCCAAATCCAATATAGGTTCAGGAATTATTAAAAAAGAAACCCTATATCTTTGAATCAATGTCCTCAACCGCCCCTGCGACACTTGATTCCTTATTTCTCTAATGTTCCAAATTATTTGACTTAACATAGAAACTAATAATGAGGGAAACGGAACTTTTTATTGCAGTTGCGAAGACCGCCTTGGCCCAAGGCCATTAAGCAACGTCTCCTTTTCATCCTTAGACTTCCGACCACGCTTTCTATGTATCGAACCTTCCCCTTGCGCCAGTTCTATAACATGAGCATTCTCAATGTCGCCATCAGACCAACTTCCCCGGTCAATATCATCCAAATCATCTACTTCAGTAGCTATCCCCAGCATACCATCATCCAAACAGGTTCCCACATCCAAGGGACTTGTGCTACCCAACAGAGTCACATGGCGTGCTGCGTCATGTAACACAGGAGCATTTGAATTTTATGCTGCGGTAGAGGATCTTCAACATATACATCTTCCACATTTTTGTCTCCTTCCTCATCGACGACTTCATGGGATTCATCCTCAAGAACTGCGAAACGGTTGGAGGTTTCCATATCAGGGATTGCTTCAGTTGTAGAAAGATGATCAGCAGACGCATTTCCAGTTTCATCAACATGTGAGCCCAATTGTGGCAAAGGAACAAATCACCTTGCACTTTGTTACTTTGTTGAATAATTGTATCCACAACCTGATCTTGATGAACCAAAGTAGGGCTGGCAAAATATCAACAAGAAAGTCACTTTTCTCCTTCGCCAACAAACCGAAAGTCAATCCACCAGCGCGCACCTCTAGGGTTTACGCATCTAGGGTTAGCGACGAAGGGGCTGCAATTCTGTAACCGGTGGTGCAACTGCTCTAATAATTAGAGGTTGCCTTTGCGAAATCTCAACATCAAGATCTGGATTCACCTTCATAGCTTTGGAACCCCAGGTTACTTTTGATTGCTGCAATTTAAATCCTTTCTTCTTCGGCATTTAATCATGCTCCTTCACAACTTCATTCACTAGCAACAACAATTTCCCAACTCTACAGTTGCTCAATTTATGTCCAATCTTGCAACACTGGGAGCAATATGATGGAACATATTCATATGTGAAGATTTGCTCATGTGTTCGACCTTTCTTTCCAATCGTCAAAGATTTCGGGAGATCCTTCATAAGGTCGACTTCTACGCAAAAACGCGCAACTGACGGCCTCGTAATATTCACAGTGGGAGTATCAACCTTTAGAGGCTGACCAATAGCTGATGCCATCGAGAAAATAACCTCCGGGTGCATAAATTCAACCGGTAGATCATAAAGAGATAACCAAATCGAAACAACGAGGGGATCTTCCTCAAAACGAAATCCCAGTGTCCAATTCAAAATGCACATTGAGAAGCTCGCGATATTCCAAAATGTTCTAATCCAACATCTTTGATAGTCATCTTCTTCCTCAAATCGGATCAGAATATGTCTAGGGTTCATGAGACCCAATGTATAGCCACCATTGAAGCCAATCTTCTTGAACTCCGTATGGATTTCCTCCATCTTAGGGAGACCATACGAGAATTTTCCCACAAGACTCAATTGATGCGGGGCAATGAGCTTTTCAAATTCATCATCCTCATACTCCAATGTAGGAGTACCATTGATGAACTTTACTTGTTTAATGAGTGAGTTTTGGTTTGTTTCAGATGCCGAGGGATTTTTGAAAAACCTTGCAAACATTTTTGGTGGTTTTGGAGGTGTGATCGGTGGCTGATCACCGGCCATGATGGCCAGGAGGAAGGCGTGGAGCTGCCATTTCTAGGTCTTGGCTAGAGAGAACCAAGGGTAATTATTTTGTTACTATTTGAGCAGTTTACTCTTAATGAAATATCATCATTGTATGGTTTTTGCAACAATGACCATTTCTCATTGTTTGCAGGAAGTTGGACGGTTAGTCAATTCATTCTTTCTTAGGACTTAATGGGACTTGATTCTTTGAGTAAACCGTTTTATAATGTTGAGCATATTGCATGATTTAATTGTTTCAAAACTAATATTTTTATTAACTTTTGTTATGATAGTTGATAGATTAAGCATGTTTGATTGCTCGGTTGTTCTAAATTTTATGGCTTTAGGTTGTAGGATCCACACAGATTACACATTGCATCGTGTCCTTGTGACATGAAAGATATATGCTCCAAGAAATCTAATGAAAGTCATCTAACTCTAAAACTTTGCAAGGATGACATGCACAAATCTAAGTTTAAACCTTATTGTCATCTAATTTATCGTCGTCGCTATCTTCGATTTGAATTACCTATTTAAGTATCGTACTGGTCTTTCTCTCATAAACTTGTTCCAAGTGACCTCGAAATTCAGCTATTGATTGCCTTCGTATCTGTATAAACCAAACCATGGTGCATAGAATTAGCCTATTAGTCTACATGAATATGGTACATTATTGTGCTTATTTTCATACAAAACACATTATAAGTGGAAAAGCAACTGACCTCAAATTGGATTAAATTAACACATCATATGAATAGTGGGCATTGTTTATTGACGAGATTGAGAATTTTTTTTTTCCCCATTTTCAACTATAGATAGTATAGACTATCAACAGAGCACTACATCCAAGTCATCAACCTAGGGACTACTATCATCCTATCATTGAGAGAGTATATACACTACATTCAAGGTCGCTTCAATCACTCCAAAACCAAAAAGAAATTCAACGTCCCATAATCGGTGAAACCTAGGGACTACTATCATCCTTGCTGGTTTGTTTCCTCATCAATTACCTATTTTGCTATAGACCTACCTCCACTTGGGTCCTACGCATTGGCAAAAAAAATTCTCTGAAAGTATTAAACATTTAACTACAATCCTAGAACTTGGAAAAACTGGTTGAGCACTAAACCGATTTCAGTTGATTGCTGCCGAGTGTAATAATCTCAGGAGAAAACATAGACTTTCTTACTCAGGTCCCCTTCTGAAATTTCTTGGGATCGGCTCATCAATGACGATTCTGGCAACATGGAAAGTATCCTCCCTACCACAGAGGCACAACAATTGAAGAGAAAGGAGATCAAGAACGAGAAGCCCATCATAGAATCTGATTTGGAGTCAAATTCTCAACAAAATCTAAAGCAGGTAAGTAAGATATGTGGGGCTGATTGAGTTCTAGAAGAAATCGTCCACTCATCATCAGATCCCCGGGAGGAAGACCAACCCCAAGATCCCAAACAGAGTAGAAGTCTCAGGCAATCCGTTGGACGCAGGATGGTCATACAATAACTTACAGCCCAGAAAAGCTTCAAATTTTCAGGAAGAGAGATAGAGATCCAAATGTAGATGACGGAATAGATGCTCAACTATTCCGGTCTTGCCAAAGAAGGTGTAGAAAATCCAGAGATGGTTTCTCAGGGTACATCCCCAATACCAATAGACAAACCTAGGCTCAATCCCAGGCATGTGTTTCCACAGTTTCATGAAGCACTGGATAACTATGTTACCCGGACTCTATTTGGGGAGAATACCCGTGTCGTATACACTGGTGTGGGTATGAGTGTCGGCGTGGCATTTTACCCTAAAATGTCCAAGATTTCTAAAATATTGACGAGTCGGATACTCAGATTCCCGCACCCGATACGATACCCGTATCCGAGTCCAAGTAACATAGCTAGATAGGGAGAATGGGCATTTTCATCCCAAGATTTGAGCCACACCATCTAAAACATCCTAAAGTTTAAAAACATGTCATTTTCATCCCAAACTTTTCAAAAATATGTAATATTAGGACATTTGTTAATTTTTTCAAATTATTAATAGCGATATTTCATTCAGTTCTTTTCCCCTATTTTTTTTTAGTCAAAAAAGTTTCATAACTTGCGTTTGGTAAATTTGGTTGCATGCTCCTGTATCAATTAGAATACCAATTTTTATAATGATACTACATATTTAAAAAATTAAATGAAATAAGGCTTACTTTCTAATTAGGACACACACAACCTCTCATGATTGTTATCTATCTAGAAGGTGAATCTTGGATTTTTTTTTTCTTTTTCTAAGCAAGGGAAGAATGGATGATGTGAAGACCAAATTAGGTTGAGCTATTTTCTTATAAGGTGAGAGTTAGTGGAACGTGTTAAATGATTAAAAGAATTGAGGGAGGAGAAACAGAATAAAGTACCACCACTAATTAATTAACTAAAGTTAAAAATTTAACGAATATCCTAATGTAACATGTTTTTAAAAAGTTTGGGATATAAATGGCATATTCTTAAACTTTGGGATATTTTGGATGGTGTGGCCCAAACTTTGGGATGAAAAGACCCATTTTTCCTAGCTGGATAATATGTCAACACTTTTTATTCTGAATCATTTGAGGACGGTCTTCTGGTGGTTCGACCAAACCAACCACCCAAATTGCCATGATGATCATATTCTGGAACTATAGGGGCTTACAAAGATCTCCTGCAGTGCTTTCTCTACAGAGTCTTTTCGGGTGAATAAACCCAAACTTCTATTCCTTCAAGAATTAGTTAGTAGATATATAGCATTGGTGGGCTGGGAACAGGTGTGTAAAGATAAGAAAGAGGGTGGATTAAGCATCAAGGATGCTCAAATCTGGAATACTGCTGTTGTGATAAAATAGGTGTGGAATATAGCCTGCAAAGCCGATAACCTTTGGATCAGGTGGATTCATGAAGTCTTTATAAAAAAGAAGAACTTCTGGGAACTGGAAGCCAAGCCGGATTCAAGCTGGCAATGGAAGAAAATATTGATGCTGAAAGACAGAGTGAAGAATGAGTTTATTAGCACTCAATGGAAGCTCACAATCATAGGCAGATACACCATCAGGATACAAGTCGTTATTGGGTGAAGGTGAGGTATCATCAGCTGCTTCATTCCTTTGGTCAAAGATTAATGTGCCAAAACACTCCTTTTATACCTGGTTATTCTGGCAAAACAGGCTGATGACAAAAGACAAGATGTTAAGAATGAATATACCTGTTGATGATCCTAGCTGTGTTATTTGTGGTTATCATCAGGAAAGCTCTAACCACCTGTTTTTTTATTGTGTACTTAGTAGATCATTATTGACAGAAGTAACCAAATGGCTTGGTATTCACCACTTGGATGGACAGCAGACTGTGTGGAGGAACAAGAATGTAACAATGCTGAAAAGATGCAAGTTCAGGAGAAGTATTTTGTGTGCTTCTATGGTAGCCTGTATCTACCATATTTGGAAAGAGAGGAATGCAAAGGTTTTTACAGGGAAGGTTCGAACAGAGGAGGTAATTGTGAAGCTCATCAAACAAGAAGTGCGTTGGAGAATAGAATAGTGCAAGGGGAAGAAAAAGACCACTTCTGAAGTGGCGATTCTGGATCAGTTGTATAGAACTGTTGTATAGCTAGAGCTTTGGTGTATGAAGTAGGAATGGTAATTGAGTATTTTGGTTGTAAATATGAACTCTTGAAAAGTAATGAATACATATTTACTTTTTACTAAAAAAAACAAAGAATTAGTCAGTAGAGAAGTAGTAGTGAAGTGGTTGGACATTACTATGTTTACTAATTTTGTATGTGAGTCTTCCATGAACATGGCTGGTAGAATAGGTCTAGTTTTGACATACTCAGTAGAATTAGATATAGTGTCTTCAAATAGTTATGTAATAGCTGCCAAGATTGTAAACCAGAACAACTCTATGTGGTGCCCTTTTTTTATGGCCATCCTCAAGCAGGGATGTGGTCCGAAGTTTGGAATTAAATCAGAAGACTCCTTTCGATGTACTCTTTGCCTAGGGTTCTCATTGGGATTTAAATAAGATTTTAGCACCTCTTGACAAAAAAAAAAAAAGGCCTACAGTTTAATGAAAGCAGAGCTGAACCCTTAAGAAATCTCCTAACTTAATTTAGCTTCTCTGAGTTACCATTCAAAGGCAACACCTTCAATTGGTGGAATAATCAGAAGGTAGTATTACCTTCGTTTCGTTTCATCTGTCATTTTAGGATTTTCACAACTATTAAGAAAACAATAGTTAAGAATTTAATTTTTAAGTGCATCACCTTTCTTGCCCTTATTTAATTATTCAACTGCACCTATTTTCTATGTTTCGCTATTGACTCCAACTACACTGTATTAATTAATTGAGTAATGTAGAAAGCCACACTTTTTAAAAAATTCATGTGACAAGAGATAAATGAAAGAAAGTAGAAAGCCAAAAAAAATTTTGAAAAAAAAGAAGAGTCAATTTCCATTAATTAAGTATTGGGATTTTTCATTAATTAAGTATTGGATTATGAAAGGCAGTAGTAGTACGTGTGGACTTCTATTCAACATGTATATTGACTTCTATGGGGATTATAATGCTAATCACTTTTGGTGGGAGGTAAGGGTAAATTAGGAAAAAAGGTATTAAAATATTCTTGGAAAAAAACAACGATAGATAAAAAGAAATTTTGAGATCATCCTAAAGCTAGAGATAAAACGAAATAGAGGTAGTAACAGGATTGCAGAAAGACTTCACCGAGCATTTGCCACCTCAGCTTGGCAAACTCTGTTTCCATAAGCAAGCGTAGTCAATTTGCCGATCATTACTTCGGACCATGGCCCCATGATTCTGTAAACAAAGGAGAAAATCAGTTATACTCGCACAAAGCCTAAGTTTGAAGCATACTGGTTTAAAACCCAAGCTGCCAAAGAAATTGTCAAAAAAGTCTGGCAACCGGTTCAGACCAATAATGGCAAGCAAGCACTCTCTGAAATATGTTGGACAACAGCCTAGTGCACTTATCAAATAGGCACAGACAATCCTTTGGTGCAATGGAGAGAGAAATCAAAAAACCAGAAAGGATGATTAGTGAACTTCAAAGTCAGGACGGGCTAATAGAGAATGAGCTTCAAATCCGCAACCTCAAAACAGGTCTACACTGCCTGACGGAGTTTCAACCAAATATTGGAAACAGAGATCAAAACTCAAGTGGAACTGAGAGTGGAAAGACCACAAAATTTTATCATGCCCGGGCAACAAAAATGAACAGCAGGAAATTCCCTAACATTTCAAAAACATTTTTGCTGTGGAAATCAATTACCCAAACGATGATCTACTATGGTGCACACGAACTCCTATTGAGGATCTCATCACACGACAAATACACCAAGAACAAGGAAACGATCTAGGGAGGTACTTCACAACAGCCAAAGTTTGGGAAGAAATTCAGGTGATGAATCCATGGAAATTACCAGGCCGGCTGGCATTCCAACAGGTTTTTACCAAAAATTTTTGCAACTAGTGGGCCAACATACAAAGGAGGTAGTTCTGCGAAACTTGCAAAATCAGGAATAGCCAAATGATTGGAGCGACACCACTGTAATATCCTCCTAAAGAAAAAGAACCTCACGGTTCCTTTTGACTTGCGTCCAATTAGCGTCTGCAACTCTTAATATAAAATCGTTGCAAAAGTCATTGTCAACAGAATAAAAAACGTATTTGGAGGCATTATATCGGAGAACCAGATTGGTTTTGTCCCATGTCGGCATATTGGAGAAAACATCCTCCTAGCACATGAAGCAATCGAATGTATCACGAAAAGGAAGGATGGCAAGATAGGATATGCAACCATTAAGTTAGACATGAGTAAGGTGTACAACCTGGTTTCGTGGGAATTTCTGGAAATGATCTTGTAGAGATTGGGTTTTCCGGAGTCGCTTGTTCAGACAATCATTAAATGTACCTCCACAGTTAAATACTCGATCAACTTCAACTTCAACGGATGGCAGCCAGAATCTTTTAAGCTAAAGAAAGGACTAAGACAAGGATGCCCGCTCTCATCATACCTGTTTATTCTTTGCCAACAGGCTTTTGCATTAGCATTGAACAGCTTGGATGTGCAGAATTCTCACTTTGGCGTTAAAGCAGCAAGAAATGCACCAAGAATCTCTCACCTTATGTACGTCGATGACTGCCTCATCTTCATGGAGCGCAGCGAACAAGACATCAAAGCGTTAGGCAAATCCTAAATCAATATGCAAAAATCTCTGGACAGAGTGTGAACTATCAAAAGTCTAGCTTAATAACAAGTCCGAACACCAAGAGGAGAGATAAATAACTAGCAGAATTATGGCTTTGGTTATGAAGAAAAGCAAACCCATGTAAATATCCCGGACTCTCCCTAGATCTCATGCAGAAAAAAAATGTTTTGTTTGGAGAAACCATAAGTAGAATCAAAGGAAAACTGTTAGATTGGAAGAACAATTCCCTTTCAAGGATGGGAAAAGTAATTTTGGCTAAACACTGCTTGGCCTCGCTCCCAATTTACATGACAGGGGTTTTCAAACTTTCCCATTCTATGACAGTTAAAATAGACCGGGCAGTAGCGAATTTTATATGGAAGGGAGACACGGAAGGAAAGAGATTGCACCGGAAATCTTGGGTGCACATCTACAAATCCATGTTCAGGGGAGGACTAGGTTTCAGATAGGCAAAGAAAATGAACCAAGCACTTTTAGCAAAGCTTGCTTGGAGAATTCATGAAAACCCGTCATCTTTGTTTGATAAAGTTTTCCTGGCTAAGTTTGGGAAAGGTGGAGGGATACTAGATTGTGCACTACCTGGAAGAACAACATGGGGATGGAGAAGCATAATGTGGGGAAAAGAACTCCTACAAAAAGGTCTCAAGTGGAAGGTCGTGAATTGTAGAGATATAAAAATCGAAGAAGATTGGATGCCAGAGATCTCAAATCCCTTTATAAATCACCCTCCTTCCAAAGACTATTGGATTACAGGGTAAGTGATCTTTTGGAGAACACAGGATCGTGGAATATCCCCTGCTGAAAACCTTATTCCCGGAAGAAATAGTAAAATGAAACAAGGCCATTTGTATCTCGGTAGACTTCGAACAGGGAAAAGACAAGAAGATCAGGAGGTTCAATCCAACAGGGATCTATTCCGTCAAAAGTGGGTATCATGTAGCAGTGAATAACAGTAAAGAAACTCGCAACATGGCTTCGACGTCCAGAATCATGACCAACCTCACTGAATGGGCTTGGAAAAAGTTCTGGTGGGTCAAAATCCCAAAAAAATTAGATGACTACTCTACAGAGCAGCTAACAATGCAGTTCCTACACAAAGGCCCTAGCCAGAAGGAACATTAGTAACCCCATTTTGTATGCTCGATGTGGTAGTTGGGAAGAAGACATTGAACATGCTCTATTGGAATGTGATGCTTCCAAACGGGTTTGGAGTACCTTTGAGTTGGGTTTTCGGTTCGACCACGAACATAAAAAAAGTTTTTGTGACTGGTTTAATAATTGGATCCTAGAAGCTCCATCAGAAGAACAACTCCAGCTTTCATGTCATATCTTATGGTGGATTTGGCAAATGGGAAATAAAGTTGTATGGGTAGGTCAATTGCAAGATCCGCAGGCGGTGTATTCATTGGTAAGGAGCGAGATTCATAATTTCAGGCAAAATCTATGTCAAGGACAACTAAACCAGACAACAGAACTGGAGCAGAGGATGGAAGCAGTGGAGCCACCATATTTGGTACAAGAGATGCAGCCCAGGTTTTTTATCAGAATTGATGGAGCCTTTAAACAACAAACCCGGCAAGGCGGAGCTGCTCGGGAGATCCTGTCGTAACTGGGAAGCCATATCTCTTGAGGTTGGTAAACCTTTGATTACACTCTGCATTACATGCTGAAGCTGAAGCCTGCTTAACATGCCTTCAACTAGCCTGTGAACTTGGTCTTCAAGATGTTGTCCATCAAACAGACAACGTGGCGGTGTCGGCGTTAACAAAAGTCGGAGCACTCTCGGAACCACTAACGGACTTGGGAAGAGACATCCAAAACCTAACACAATTCTGTGTAAGGTAGATAGGGATCTAGTTGAAAATGTGCATAGATTAGTTAAGGAAAGTTTGATTTGGACATCTCCTTGTAACCTTCACATTTCAATATAATGCTTACTTCCAAAAAAAAAAAAAAAAAAAATCCTTTTATGACATGATGAAGGAGACAATATTGAATACTAATTTATAACAAATAATAATTATCCCTCCATTTCAATATATATGTATTTCTAACAATTTCACCAATATCATAGAGTATCTTGACAGAGGAAATTAATTCGAGAGAGGTATTACGTACGCACTCAGACGGAGAAGTATTAAAATTAATTGATTTCCCTTTTTTTTTTGTTCAACAAATGCATTAAATACTTGCATTTAATCCTAAAATCTTGCAGAGTTGGATATAATAAGAAAAGAAAGTTTTACCTCAAAACAAAGGAAATGACTAAGAACAATATATCATAAAATTAAAAAATTAAACGAACAATTCGTCAATTTAATTACCAAAAACTAAAAAGAGATAATATAATATTAAATGTGGTGATCTCAACTTTTTCTGATCTCCACGCTGAATTCGAAACCTTCATCCCTGTTGAGACTGATCATATCGTTCTCGCTGGAAGCGATGAGCCCGGCCGGCATCCCCAAAAGATTGATTATTCTTACAAAACAATCTTAGTAACATTTAAAGCTTCAAGCGGAGATCAACTTTTTCTCCAATGTCACCACTGGGATTGTGTGAAGAATGTGCAACTTCTCCAATCTGGTTCTTGGCTTCAGGGAAAAAGCTCAATAAACGTGGCTGCATTGATAGCTTAGGACTCTGTTCATCAACACTGCCTTCGTCGCCTTTGAATCGGGGGAAATTAGCATTAGCATCAGCAGCAGCAGCCCCAGGGGGGGCCAGGGTGAGGACTAAATCGGCTTCCGAGTGGTTATTATTCAACATGGATGAAGAAGGAGAAAATTGTTCCCGAAATCGTTGAGATTTTTGCAACCCATTTGAGATAGGCAAATCCATGTAAGACCTGTAAGAAAATCCATGACGATTATTTGGATGGTGATGACGATGACCCAGGCCTGCGAATTCATCATTACTACACACTTTAGGCCAATTTCCACCACCAACAACATGGTCTGGACAAACCGGAATGGCAGAATAGCCCATCTGACCGTAAGCCATGTTCATAGTACCAAAATTTGGTGGTGGAATTGTTGCTTGTCTGATCATAGAAATTGGTGAAGGAAGATCATGACTTGGTGATGATTGTTGCAAAGGAGCTAAACTAGAAGAAGAGGAAGTAATATCTCTATGATTTGGTGACAGAGACACTAACCTTCTTTCCTTTTCTTCCTCCATTATAATCTCTTCAAGCTTTGCTATACCTAACCCTCTTTTTGGTGCATTTTTTTCTTTCATCTTTTTGGTACTATTAGTTTGCTTTTGCTGCTGTTCTTGAGCCGCCGTCCTGTATATATAGTCGACTGGGAGGATGAATATGACCATTTTTTAAGGGAAACCCTAAAACAGAAATTCATGAGATAAATGAATCTTTAATGAGCAACAAATTAGAGAAAATCTAGTAAAAATTTTGAGACGCGGGAAGAAGAAGAAGGCAATGAAATCTGCATTGGTATTAAATGGAAGAAAATCTCGTATTTTTCTCAACATCTAAAAGATTTCCAAGTTTTTAATTACAAAATCCTAATGACACACGAAATCACAAGAGAAAAGAATCTCAGAACCTCGGATTTTTGCTCGCATCCAGCGACCAGCTGTCAATGTGTCTGAAATGCAATCTTAGATCATTAAGACATTAAAAAAGTTTATAGCAATCCACACTCAAATAAATGAAAAATCTTTTCTTTTTTCCATTTAGGTTTAGAATGAATATTATATTGACCTACAAATAGAAATAAAACTCTCCTTAATACTAACACGAATTACAAGGTAATGTACTAAACTATATTTGAAAAGAGGTATTCCCCGGGCCTTAAGCAACATTTCAATGTTTTCCAAGCTTAAAAAAAAATATGAATATATTATAACCAGAAAATAAAATAAAATTAGAACTTCAAATATTTGCATCATACTATTACGTTCTGTTATTTCCGAATCTCCGTTGTGAAAGCATCAAACATGAGTAAGTATGTATATCTTACTTGCGAAGAAATTATTATTTTCCACTCCAATTCCATTCTTAGTCCAGTATCTGTGGTCCGGTGAGTGGCCAATTCGTTAACCCAAGCCAACTCTATTTTTCATTTTTGCCAACAACAAATGAGGATATTGATCTTAACTCTAAATTGCTTTGGAAAACTCTTGGGCTGGTGCACATGAGCGGGACGTGTGTAGTACTTTTCTTGTGCTAAAAATATTGTCCAGTATATTCGCCTTTTAGTACATTTTAAACTAAAAATAAAAATCAAAACAGTACAATGGTGGTATAATATTATCAAGGTAATTTAGACAACAAAATAGACTTCCACTTATATGGTAAGCTCGATGTTCTCACATTGTCCACGAGTGAAAAATATCCATAGTTCTAACTTATCTTTTTTTAGGTTATAGTTCTACGGTAATACTTGGCAGGTATCTCCCGATCTTATTAATTTAAAATAAAAGATATAGAAGGTAGTGAAGTGACATACGTGAAGTAGGAACTGGTTTACAAATATTTCTAAAAGTCTCATGACAGTTATGTTTAAACAGCAGGCACATAAAATCTATCTACTACATAATGTCATGTCTAATGACCATAACGAAAAAGATAATCATATGGTGCAATACTCCCACTAATGATTGAATAAAAAAATTACAATTCAATATATTAACTGGATTACTTGATACGCAAATATGGCACTGATTGATGAACCAATATAAGCAATCCTCGAACATTGTTAGGCAATTGAGCTCATGCTAGTTTTGTAAATAAATTTGCTGCAGAGTTTACCTTATGATACACGTGTTATTGTGTAGCTTCATAAAATTTAACCTATCTTTTTCAAGTCACTACGTTTCTGTTATGGAAAGAAATTTACTTTTGTAAGCACGCCCACCACTGTCTGATTGTCTAATCTGGCCTAAACTCGTTGTGGCTGTAGTACTTATTTTTCCAATCCAGCTAGCTAGTATTGATTTCACTTAAACATGAAGACTATAACAAGTCCCAACATATTGACATTGAATATAAATTAAATTACCTTGATCACCTCAAATGATAAATCCCAATCCCGCTTCACAATCACAAGGGGAGCCGCGAACCCATCTATATTTAAAGCACAGGATCTGGAGTCAGTAATGAAAGAATAATTATGTGTGTTATTTACGTTGTACATCATGGTATTTATAGTACATAAAGTTACAACCCTATCCGACTATATCATAAACCCTAATTAGAGTTTCCGTGATTATATATATTCTATCATCTCCCCGTAATCGTAGCAAGAAAACTAATCATGCCTAAATTGATTCTAAACGAATAAAATTTATCCTTTGCTAATGATTTTATAAAGACATCGACAAGCTGGGACTGTGTGGAGATATGAAGAACACGAAGAAGACCAGCAGCAACACGTTCGTGAACAAAATGAATGTCTAGACTAATATGTTTGGTGCGGGCATGATTAACCAGATTTGCAGCTAGGTATGTGGCAGAGACATTATCACACAAGGTGACCGGGCGCTGCGGAAGCATTATATGAAGTTTAGACAAGAGATTTTCCATCCAAACGGTTTCAGGCAATGCAGAAGCAACCGTACGATACTCAGACTCAGCAGACGATCGAGAGACGGTAGATTGTTTCTTGGAGGACCAAGAAATTAGAGATGAACCCAGAAAGACACAGAAACTAGTTGTAGAGCGATGAGTGGTAGGACATCCAGCCCAATCAGCATCAGAGTACGTTACAAGGCGATCAAGAGGGCCAGCACGGAGATTAATGCCATAGCGAAGTGTGCCCTTAATGTAGTGGAGAATGCGCTTGATCGTCTGAAAATACTGCTCGCCAGGATCATGCATATGCTGACAGATAAGATTAATGGCATACTGAATGTCGGGTCTGGTGAAGGTCAGATACTGTAAGGCATGCACCAAGCTCCGATAGAGAGTCGGATTGTGAAAAGGCGGGGACTCATCCATAGAGAACTGAAAAGCTGGAGCAAAGGGAGTGGCAACGGCATTAGCATCGGTGAGACGACTGCGAGCTAATAACTCCTCAGCATATTTGCGTTGATGTAAAAACCAACCACCAGAGTGAGCAGAAATAGAGACCAAGAAAATAGCTGATAGGACCAAGATCCGTCATGGATAAGAGTAGTGAATAAGAGTACCCTTCAGTGGCTGAATAAGAGTAGTGAGGAGACAAGTACTAGATGCTGTCAAGAGAATGTCATCAACATAAAGTAACAAAATAGCCATGTTCGACCCAGCAAAGTACACAAACATAGAAGAATCGAAGCGACTGCCTTTAAAACCCTGAGAAAACAAGAAGGCAGTAAATCGGTGAAACCAAGCCCTGGGAGCCTGCTTTAAGCCATAAAGAGCTTTGTTCAATCGACAGACATATTGAGGATGATCTAGATGAACAAAACCAGTAGGCTATTTTATGTAGATAATTTCATTAAGATGACCATGCAAAAATGCATTTTTAACATCCAACTGATGGATGGGCCATTTACGAGAAGCGGCAATGCTTAAGACAGTCCGAATTGTCACTGGTTTAACCACCGGACTAAATATTTGATCGTAATCAAGACCAGGCTTTTGATTATAGCCTTGAGCAACCAAATGTGCTTTACATCGATCAAGAGAACCATCGGATTTGAGCTTAACTCGTAAAATCCATTTGGAGCCGATAATGTTAGCAGAAACAGGAGGAGGGACAAAATTCCATGTATTATTGGTGAGGAGAGCATTATATTCATCACTCATGGTAGCACGCCATTTAGGGTATTTATTTGCTTCTATGAAGGATTTGGGTTCAGGTGGAAGTGAAGAAGATGTAGTAGTAGTAAGAGAAAGAATATGTTTAGGTTTACGTGTGCCATCCCGAGTGCGGATGACCATAGGATGAGTGGGAGGGTGGAATGGGGGAGGACCCAAATTATTTTGTGAAGAAGGAGAGGGTGTAGGATCTGAAGATACTAAGGGAACAGATGACACTGGTTGTTGAGGACTTGGAGGTGCCACGGTAGAGAGTACTGTAGCAGGAAGAGACCGTGGAATAAGAAAAGAAGAATGTTTAAATTGGGAGCTAGGACTGGAGAGCGGATTAACCGAAGCGAGTTGAGAAAATGGGAAAGATGTTTCATCGAAAACAAAATGGCGAGAGGTATAAATTTTCTTTGAAGCAAGGTCAAGGCAATGATAACCTTTATAAGACTCAGGATAACCCAGGAATATACATGGAGCAGATCGAGGATGGAGCTTATGAGAAGCTAAATGAGATAGATTGGGAAAACAAGAGCACCCAAAAACCCTTAATAGACCATAGTTAGGAGGATGACCATAAAGAAGTGAGAAAGGAACGGCACTATTTTTGGATTTGGTAGGTAAACGGTTTAACAGGTAAACACTAGTATGTAAAGCCTCTACCCAGAATTCATTTGGTAAGTGGCCTTGATGAAGAGGAGTGCGAACCATATTGAGGAGAGTTTTATTCATACGCTCAGCCTTGCCGTTTTGTTGAGGAGTGTACAGACAAGAAATGCGCATGGTGATGCCCTTAGATTTGAGGAAAGATTGAAGATAATGAGAGTGAACATATTCAGCTGCACCATCAGATTGAAGAGTTTTTATTGTGGAGTTGAATTGAGTTTGGACAAGAGAATAAAAGTCAATAAATTTCTGAGGTACTTTAGATTTATTTTTTAGTGGATACACCCATATGTAATGAGTGAAATCGCAAGAAAAAGTACAAAATACTTGAAACCACTAAATGAAAGACATGGAGAAGTCCAGACATCGGTATGTATAATATCAAAAGCTTTAAACGTAACAGAAGAGGATGGCATAAAAGGGAGCTTATGATGCTTCCCAATTTGACAAGCCTAACAAAGTCTAAATTTATTTGAAGAAATCACCGAACCAGGAAGTCGGTGATTGAACACTAAGCTAGATAAAACAGAAGAATGTGGATGACCAAGGCGTTGATGCCAGACATGAGAGGAGACCGGAGAAGACGGGGCATGAGAGTGAGGTAGCAGTGTGGATGGGAAGGAGTAAAGGGAACCAGCACTATTGCAACGTAGACGAAGGGTCCTCGTCCAAGGATCCTTCATAGAAAAACCAAAGGGGTCAAATTTAACAGAACATTGATTTCCGGTTGCAAATTGACGCACAGATATGAGATTTTTAGTTAGTGAAGAAACATAGTAAACCCTAGGAAATCGAAACTTAGAGCAAGGAAGTTGACCAACTGATGTAACAGGTAAATGATGACCATTACCAATGACAACTCGAGTAGGACCGAAATAGGGTTTGGAATGAGTAAGAGTACCTTGAT